ACCCCGGATTTTAGTGTTGTAAGAAAAAAAATCTGGAACTTACTGCTGTCCCACCGGGTGACCGCTAGTGTAGTCTATCAAAGCAACTGTAAAGATTATCGAAGTTATTATATATATGGTGAAACGGATAGGACAGTAACAATAAGATTTTTGGAACATAAAAAAAATCCTTCATTGGTATGTGAACACAAGAATACAAAATCAACATGAAATCTGTTTTAACAATGTAATTGTACTCGAATTAAAAAACGAAAAAAATAAAAATATTAAGAGCTTAATAATAAAGAATAACGTTCCCATTTTAAACAGATGGCGGAGTGTCTCTATAATACTGTTCAAGTTCCATGTTGATATAGGGTGAGGTTGCTTTTTATTAGTTCATAACATTACTATAAGTGTGTAACAGTTGTTGGATGTGTTCCCCGGTAGAGATTAAACGTCACCATAATAAAACAGTTTTAATCTACACATTTGAAGGTGTCTTTTAGAATTAAAGTTGAGATTTTCTTTATCAACAGAGACTATTCCAACTATATTGTCTCGAAATCCCTTGAAACACGATTTATCGTGGAGAAGGACGAGCAAATCCTCTGGATCCTCAAATCATTTCTCGTGCAGAACGCCGAGTAAAGCCTCTCGATTCTCAAATCATTTCTCGTGCAGAACGCCGAGTAAATCCTCTCGATCCTCAAATGATTTCTCGTGCAGAACGCGAGCAAATCCTCTCGATCCTCAAATGATTTCTCGTGCTGAACGACGAGCAAATCTATTTGATCCTCAAACCATTTCTCGTGTAGAACGCCGAGTAAATCCTCTCGATTTTTAAATGATTTATCGTGCAGAACGCCGAGTAAATCCTCTCGATTTTTAAATGATTTATCGCGCAAAACGACGAACAAATCCTCTTGATCCTCAAATCAAATACTTGTTTCGGTACTACCTTATCATAATTACATTTCGCAGATTACTAATTAACAAAATTTTCGCATCCTTGATAATAACACTCTATTATGTAATACACTCTCCTC